AACTGTACCCTCGCCCCCCCGCATATCAGGAGCCAGATGTTCCTTCTCACATCAGCCTGGGTTGCACCCATCCCCCCTCCCTCAGGAGGAGGAAGGGGCACAGGGGGAGGAGGATTGGCTACGCCAACAGCCTCGGCCACGAGCTGCGTGGCAGCTTCTCCGACCCCGCGAAGGTGTGCTTCTTCGTTTTTCCAGAGCGTGATGCCCGAGGGGCCGCACAGCTTCGACTGGCCGTGGCAGAGACGTGCGAGCGCGCTCTGAGCACTCCGGGCGAACACAGTGTGCATGAGACGCTCGGCCGTCTCCGAGGCTTTGGGGGGAGCTGGACGCTCCGCCCTCTGCCGCTCCGCCCGCCTCGCTGCCGTAGAGACCAGTGCTCCGAGCTGTCCGAGCTTCTCAACATGGAAAGGCAGTGTCCTTCTCCTCCTCCTCCTCCGCCTCCTCCTCCTCCTCCTCCTCCTTCTCTCCTCTCTCTTCTCCTCTTCCTCCTCTTCCTCCTCCCTCCTCCTCCCCCTCCTCCCCCTCCTCCTCCTCCTCCTCCTCCTCCTCGTCCTCCTCCTCCTCCTCCCTCTCTCCTCTCTCTTCTCCTCTTCCTCCTCTTCCTCCTCCCTCCTCCTCCCCCTCCTCCCCCTCCTCCTCCTCCTCCTCCTCCTCCTCCTCCTCCTCCTCCCCCTCCTCCTCCTCTTTCTCCTCCTCCTCCTCCTCCTCCTCCTCCTCCTCCTCCTCCTCCTCTCTCACTGGGCCCTGAGGCTGTCGAAGAATACCCTGCGCCAGGCGTGGGCGGGAGGGGCGGATCGTGCCAGGGGCTGGGCTCGGCGAGCGCGGGGGGGGGGTCAGGACGGTCTGGAGCGGGCCGGCGGACGGAGTGGCACGAGGGGGTGGTGGGGTGCTCACCCAGCAGCCCAGGGTACGCGGGCCAACGAAGTCCGAAACTGGAGCATGTACATTACCAGTGGCGGGCGGTTTTCCAATCCCAGGACCTCTTTGAGGGTCGGGGACGACGTCGGGGTGGTGTGGTGTGTACTTTTTCCCCGTTTTCCTGGGGAACAGCGAAGACTGTATACACCAGGATCCCGTATACACCAGGATCCGCTGTCCTCTGCGAGATTCAGTGTGAGGCCAGACAAAGGCGTCGGTGTATAGAATTCGGCTCCTTACGAAGCAGCGCGTGCAGCGGCCCTGACCCGCGTGGGGGTCCAGCACGAACGTGTGCTCATGCAGCCTGGGACGTGCAACGGGGAACCTAGATAAGGTATGTTCAGTCGGCGGCTCCAGGCGGGAATGCAGATGGGGCGGGCCTTCTCAGAAGGCTCGGAAGGCCTCCAGACTTCTGAGGAGTTTTCAAAGCCTTCTCTGAACGCATAGTCTGCTTCTCAGAAGGCCGATGGACTTCTGCGAAGCCCCGTCGCCTTCTTGAGAAGGCCTGCCCTTTCTCATTTCCCCCCTTGCGCGCTGCGATAAACGAGGTAGGCTCAGGTGGCGAAGTCCGTCAGCGGCGCAACCTGGTCACCCTGGTGGCAGCCCAATCGGCGTGTTCAAGGCTTGCACGATATGACTGCACATATCCTTCGACAGCCTTACACACGACATAGCCTTCGACAGCCTTACGCACGTTCGGATTGGTCCAGGCATTTCCTACCCAGATTACAAAGCCCGAACCTCGCTCATGAGCCTCCTGGATGAACACACGGGAAGGTGTAACACGAAGGAGGCATGAACGAAGACTGCCCTCCGCACTCCTGCATACTCACTTCTGCCTGTGGACCAGTGAACACCTGCACATCATGATCCGCTCGGAAGGCATGGGCTGCTGCCGTGCGCACCTGGCACAGGGCCCCGCGGAGGTACCGAAAAGAGCTCGGGCCGAGATTGCAGCGGCGCTGAACTGCAGAAAGGCCCAGCCGCACCTCGGAACTCTCGGGCGCAGAAGAGCCCTCAGCGTTCCCGTCCCCAAGCGCAACACCAACGTCCCCCCACTCTCACGTCTCAGAGTGGCGGAGGAGGCGGAGGAGGAGGATGAGGAGGAGGCGGAGGCAGAGGCGGAGGCGGAGTCGGAGGCGGAGGAGGAGGAGGAGGAGGAGGAGGAGGAGGAGGAGGAGGAGGAGGAGGACCAGCGTAAACCGAAGGGTTGATTATCAACGATGTTTGAGCAAACCCTCCCTCCGAGCTCCTTCTTCGTAGGCCCCTACAACTGTTCTTTTTCATTGAGGGAACTGCCTCGCTGGAAAACACCCGTTTGAAGACCCTGAAGCATGCCAAGACATGGTTCTCGGGATTCCAACGCCGCGGATCAACCTGACTGTTGCGTCTTGACGATTCTGAATTGTGCCAGAACGCCATTCCTAGGACTTCAACACATAGAATCAACGTAACTGTTGCGCCCGCTTAATCCTTAATTCTTCCAAAACACAATTTCTGGTGGTATTTGTAAATGAATGTGCGCGGCGCTGAGGCGAGAGCTACATTTGAAAGGAACCGCCCTCAGTCCGTGAAGCTCTTGCAAATGTTGAAAAAGAATGTGCGCCGCGCTGAGGCGAGAGCCACATTTTGAAAATCACTCGCCCTCAATCCGTGAAATTCTTGCGATTGCTTAAAAAGAATGCGCGCCGCGCAAAGGTGAGCCACATTTTGAAAACCACCCGCCCTCCATTTGTGAAGCTGTTGTTAATTTTTAAGCTGCAGGGTCATAACTGGTGAGGAAGTCTCAGGCGAAACGCCCGGCCCGCCCTAAAAACTGGACTGGGGGTGCGACAGGGGGAAGTTCCCCAATCAGAGCTTGCCTCTGCAGGGGTCCTAGCGGATTCATATGGTTTGGTGAGGTGCGGCGCCGATTTCGGCGGCACGCCCGGGTGCCCGGGTGCCCAGGTGCCCGGGTGCCTGGTAGCCCTTTTGCCCTACAGCCCTATAGCCTGATAGCCTTATAGCCTTATAGCCCTATGGCCCTATAGCCTTATAGCCCTATAGCCTTATAGCCCTATAGCCCTAATAGCCCTATAGCTCTATAGCCCCATAGCCCTATAGCCCTATAGCCCTATAATCTTATAGCCTTATAGCCCTGTAGCCCTATAGCCCTATAGCCCCATAGTCCCATAGCCCTGTAGCCCTGTAGCCCTATAGCCCTATAGCCCTATAGCCTTATAGACCTATAGCTCTATAGCCCTATAGCCACATGGCCCTATAGCCCTACAAATATTATGATTGGGTTGTTCTCTGGTATTATTCTTTCTGAGGAACAAGGAATGGAGGAGGAGGAGGAGGAGGAGGAGGAGGAGGAGGAGGAGGAGGAGGAGGAGGAGGAGGAGGAGGACCAGTGTAAAATCATTCATCTTCATGGGCCCGCACAACGGTTCCTTTCCATGGAGGGAGCTGCCTCGTTGGAAGACAACCGTTTGAAGATCCCGAAGCATGCCAACACATTGTTCTCGGGATTTCAACGCGGCGTATCTACCTGACTGCTGCGTCTTGACGATCCGGAATCGTGCCAGAGCGTAATTTTGGGACTTCAACACCGCGAACCAATAGAACTGTTGCGCCCGCTTAATCCTTGATTCTTCCAAAACACCATTTCTGGTACGTTGATCTTGGGAATCCGTTAAGTTCTTGCAAATTTTGAAAACGAATGTGTGCGGCGGCGCTAAGGCGAGAGCCACATTTTGAAAAGGAACCGCCCTCAATCCATGAAACTCGTGCACATTCTTAAAACGAATGTGCGCGGCGCTAAGGCGAGAGCTACGTATTGAAAACAACCCGCCCTCAATCCGTGAAACTTTTGCAAATTGTCAAAATGCATGTGCTCGGCGCTAAGGCGAGAGCCACATGTTGAAAACGACCCGCCCTCAATCCGTGAAGCCCTTGATGCAAACTTTGAAAACGAATGTGCACGGCGCTAAGGCGAGAGCCACATTTGGAAAACGACCCGCCCTCAATCCGTGAAGCACCACTTCTCTGGTATGTTGATCATGGGAATCCGTTCAATCTTGCAGATTTTGAAAACGAATGTGCGCGGCGCTATGGCGAGAGCCACATCTTGAAAAGGAACCGCCCTCAATCCGTGAAGCTCTTGCAACGTTTGAGAAAGAATGTGTGCGGCGCTAAGGCGAAAGCCACATGTTGAAAACGACCCGCTCTCAATCCGTGAAGCTCTTGCATTTTTTTGAAAACGAATGTGCGCGGCGCTAAGGCGAGAGCCACATGTTGAAAAGAAACTGCCGTTCAATCCGTGAAACTCTGATTGCAGATTTTTGAAACGAATGTGGCGCTAAGGCGAGAGCCACATGTTGAAAACGACCCGCCCTCAATCCGTGAAGCTCTTGCAATTCTTAAAGCGAATGTGCGCGGCGCCAAGACGAGAGCTACGTATTGAAAACAACCCGCCCTCAATCCGTGAAACTCTTGCAAATTGTCAAAACGAATGTGCGCGGCGCTATGGCGAGAGCCACATGTTGAAAACGACCCGCCCTCAATCCGTGAAGCCCTTGATGCAAACTTTGAAAACGAATGTGCACGGCGCTAAGGCGAGAGCCACATTTTTAAAACGACCCGCCCTCAATCCGTGAAGCACCACTTCTGGTATGTTGATCATTGGAATCCGTTCAATCTTGCAGATTTTGAAAACGAATGTGCGCGGCGCTATGGCGAGAGCCACATCTTGAAAAGGAACCGCCCTCAATCCGTGAAGCTCTTGCAACGTTTGAGAAAGAATGTGTGCGGCGCTAAGGCGAAAGCCACATGTTGAAAACGACCCGCCCTCAATCCGTGAAGCTCTTGCATTTTTTTGAAAACGAATGTGCGCGGCGCTAAGGCGAGAGCCACATGTTGAAAAGAAACCGCCGTTCAATCCGTGAAACTCTTGTTGCAGATTTTTGAAACGAATGTGGCGCTAAGGCGAGAGCCACATGTTGAAAACGACCCGCCCTCAATCCGTGAAGCTCTTGCAATTCTTAAAGCGAATGTGCGCGGCGCCAAGGCGAGAGCCACATTTTGGAAGCGGCCCGCCCTACATCTGTCAAGCTGTTGTTACTTTTTAAGCTTCGGAGTCATAAATGGTGACGAAGTCTCAGGCGAAACGCCCGGCCCGCTCTAAAACTGGCTTCGGGGTGCGACAGGGAGGAGTTATCTATAAGGAGAAGGGATGGAGGAGGAAGAGGAGGAGGAGGAGGAGGAGGAGGAGGAGGAGGAGGGGGAGGAGGAGGAGGAGGGAGAGGGGAGGAGGAGGCGGAGGCGGATGCGGAGGTCGAGGCAGCGGCGGCGGAGGCGGAGGCGGAGGCGGAGGCGGAGGTGGCAGCGGTGGCGGTGGAGGAGGAGGAGGAGGAGGAGGAGGAGGAGGCGGCGGGAAGGAGGAGGAGGAGGAGGAGGAGGAGGGGGCGGCGGGGAGGAGGAGGAGGGAGGAAGGAGGAGGAGGAGGAGGA